TCTCCGTGATTCCAGAGAAAAGGGTGCACAGCCTGGGGTGAGTACGGGAGACTCTGTGTGCAAACATTCATTCTGCAGGGGAGACAGAGCGAAGCCAAGGCCTGAGGAAGTCCAGGGCGCACACAACTAATTATGACTGCGACTACAACTTTGTGGAATACCTTCGGGGTCGCCCAGGGATTTGGGGGCGGATAAGAGGCCACGGGCTCGGAGGCCTCAGATTTGCTGTGTTGATCAGCTTCGGGAGGACCGAAGAAGCAAGGCAGGTGTGAGCACCGGGGAAAGGGGACAGCGGCAAAACGTGTAGGAACTGTGCATCCGGCAGCACAGACCCCGGTAGCATGGTGCGTGGCCCGATGGGCCCTGTGCGTGGCCTCCGGCGCCCAGGACCCGCTGCAGACCGCGGGTTCACTCCCACACTTCCCTCCTGAGCTGCACAGGCCAAACCTCGATGGGACGCTGTGGGCGGGAGGCACGGAGGTGCGGGTGTCCACTTCAACCGGGCTGGCTCAGTGCCAGTCGTTGCTAAGCCCTTTTGGACTCAAAAGCCTCAGATAAGGAGGTCAAAGCCCAGCTGGGGGTGGACGGGAGAATCCTGCAGCCGCTAGCCGGTCCCCAGCGGCCCCCGACCACTGTGCGGGTCAGTAGAGCCGGTGTGCTCGGTCGAAGGCTGCTGCCCCGCGTTCTTCCGCCCGCGGGAGCCCAAGGACCCGCCTTCGTTCATCATCCCCCATCCGCTCCCCGGGCCACTGCCGAGTAGCCCCGCGTAAGCCGCCGGGCCATCGGTCAGTCCAGGAAGGCCCGCGAGGTCGTCGGTACAACAAAGGCGGCCCCAAGCGGCGCCTTCTGTCTTGTAAATACCGTGCCGGGTCCCCGGGCACAGTGGAGCCCCGGGAGAGAAGCAGCCGGAGGAATCCCGCCCCCACTCCGCACCCTTCCCCCACAATTACGGAGCGCATTCATTTGAAATGTTAATGTTTTGAAGCTTCCCTTAGGCCTGGATCTGTCTCCTTGAAAGCAGGCTGCAGCCTCTGGGATTAATAAACAAACCAGCATTTGGCTTGGGTGGGAGCCGGGTAAACATTTGTTGGTCTCAAAGAGAGGCAGGTGTACTAGGACAAACGCGGGTAAATCATTACACAGTCCCGCCACTCGCTTTAAAAAGACTCCTTTGTGCACAGATTCCAAGAGAGAGAAATTTTCCCAATCTACAGGCCCTTATTTGCACCCTCCGGGCTGACGGCCCCAGCTCCGCTGACTTCTGCCCCCGCGACCCGCACGGTGGAATCCGGGCCACAGGTAGAGGGCGGGGCGGCGCCGCGCTCGGGCGGAGCCAAGCCCAGGCCCCGCCCAGGTGCTGTCAGGCCAGATCCCCGCCCGCAGCTCCACCGCCAAGTGGCCGCTAGAATTCCGGATGTCTTGGGGTAAGCCCCGACCACCGCGAGGTTCTGTGTCTCTGGCCCGTAGGCCTGAGCCTAACGCGCCCGGCCTCCGCAGCGGGAGGACACAGAGGGTTGTCACAACTGGTGTTTTTAAAAGACTTGACCTGTGTTTCCCTGCTCACATTCCATAGTTGTCGGGTTATTGCCAAAATAGCATCCTGTCGGATTCTTTGCTCAGCCCAGCTGCTAGCGATGATAATAGTACCCGCGAACACTTTGGCAGCGCTGACACTCTGCCAGTCACTGTTCGAATCCCTTCACATGGATTAATTTGTGATGAGATGATTCAAGTCATCAACGTTTCTTTCTAGAACAGGTACATCACTTAACTCCCCACCCGTCCTCTCGGGATGAGAGCAAATCGGGATGCGCGCATAGGATATGGGGTTCCAGTTGTGCAGGTATGACTTCAAGGGCTCGGGGTTCATATGTGCTGGAGAGAGGCTGTGGAGGTCGCCAGGGCGCCATTGTGGTCCTGGAACGCTGCCAGGCCCCCACAATTCCCCAACTTAAACATTCTTTTTTTTTTTGCGGTACGCGGGCCTCTCACTGTTGTGGCCTCTCCCGTTGCGGAGCACAGGCTCCGGACGCGCAGGCTCAGCGGCCATGGCTCACCGGCCCAGCCGCTCCGCGGCATGTGGGATCTTCCCAGACTGGGGCAGGAATCCGTGTCCCCTGCATCGGCAGGCGGACTCTCAACCACTGCGTCACCAGGGAAGCCCAACTTCAACATTCTTTAATCCATTAAACCCTCCAAGCAGGCGCTGCCTGGCCTTCCAAAAGCTTTTTCCTCAAGCTGGGAAAACCCAACAGAGAAATGATCATTTTTCAACTATGAGAGCCAACAACACTCATACATGATGAAGCAAGTCACATAAAAGAAAGAATTCCTTCCCACTCTCCTGGGAGAGGTCCCTCAGCGCAGAGAATATTGAGCTGCCCAAACTATGGGCCAGGCTGGGGTATGTACAGATTAGGAGGGCTCTCACCCAAGAGCTGGAGTTTGTCACTGGAAGAAATCCCTGCCCAGGTTATTCATAAGCATTTCTTTGAAATCCCAATTCCTGTGTTTCCTCTGTCCCAAGTTGTGGATCCCCTGGGCCAGCTGAGGGACACAGGGAAGGGAGGAGGAACAGCTTAGAGTAGAGGAGCCCGCTCTCTATCCCAGTAATAGCATCTGGGTGCTGTCAGAGGACCCAATGGACAAGGTGGGAAGAGATTGTATATCACCTGGGTAAGACTAGGCACTGTGGCCCCAAACTGTTGAATAAGCCTGGTCTTGTAGACACCTGTCTGCCCCTCTACCCTTGGTGTTCACAGATTACATATCTCCTAGGGTCTCCTAGATTTGTTTTATCTTGCAAGGACTAGTCCATTCCTGACTCCAACCTGGCCTCTTCCTCTAAATACCCCCAAAGTCTCAACCAGATTCTTACTTTTCCAGGCAGGCCTGAACCTCTGGCTTAAAAGGACAGCAAAACTATAGGGTTCCTCTACATGGCCTGATATTAAGGGCCCAGGATAGTACATGCTTCATGCCTGTGACCTTTGGAGAAAGACAGACACCTAAGTAGCTGGGTGATCTTTGGCAAATCATTTATCTTTGACAGTGTTCCTTAAGTTTCCCATCAGCAGAGTGACTGGATAATAGAACCAAAATCCCTGAAAAGGAGATGTAGGGAAATCTGCATCGTAAACTCAGCACCTGGAAGCCTGCTCACCTGTTTTCTCACATGCTCTCCTGAGGCTCTGCTACATGACAGTAGAGACGGTAATGTCACTACCACACTATCGTTTGCCCTGCAAGTGAAATACTTGAAACTGAATCACCCTGGCATCCTGGCTTGGGTGAGCAGCAGTCAGAGGGAGATTGGCTTTCAGAGCAGGTGACAACCCAGAGGCCTGCCTCCTGTCACTGTAGCTAGGCAGTCAGCTAACACCACCTCACTGTTGGGATGGATCTTGCTCCCAGCAGCATATCCCACTGCCTCCTGCCTAGGAGGAGAGCCCAAGCAGATCTTCACTGACATTCAATAGCCTTGTTCTTCCACTGTTTCCATCTCAAGGATATTAATCTCTAGCCTGCCTGCGGCTATCAGAATTCTTTTTCAACACTTCCAATACATATACTCATCATAGCCATTTTCCAGACTTACTAGAAAGAGGCACAAAACTCTAATATGACCAAAACTCCACATGCCTGGTTTTCTGTATCTACTTTTGAGAACTATGGAAACACGGAATAGAGGATAATTGATTTATGTGAGAGGGTATATGATTCATGGTAAGGTTCCACAAGTGGAGAGGGAGAAAGACTTTACAGGCAGAGGGGACTGAATGAGTCTTGCAATGAAGGCTTGAGGCTCTTGAGTAGTCTGATACAGGTAGAGAGGAGAGGAAGCGGGATGGGAGGGGTGGTCAACGCCACTGCAAATGCCAATGGATGTGAACTCATTTCTGGTAGACAGTGGGGAGCCACCAAAGTTTTTTTTAAAAGAGGTAGGTGGTTTGTTACATTCATATTTTAGAATTATCGTTCTGGTGGCTGTGTGTGAATTCATCTTTTTAAATAGACTTTCTTTAGAACAGTTTTAGGTGCACAGAAAAACTGAGCACAGAATACAGAGAATTCCCATATACCTCCCTCCCCACCCCCCCAGTTTACTGTCTTGCATTAGTGTGGTATATTTGTTACAATTAATGAACCAATATTGATACATTGTTAACTAAAGTCCCTAGTTTACATTAGTGTTCGCTCTGTTTTACAGCTCCATGGGTTTTGACAAGTGCACACTATCATGCACACACCGTTACAGTGTCATACAGAATCGTTTCACCACCCTAAAAAAATCCCCTGTGCTTCACCTATTCATTACTCCTCCTCCCTTCCTGTAAATCTCTTGGCAGTCACTCTATCTCAACTCATCTTGCTTTTCCAAAACATCATATAGTTGGAATCATACGGTATGTGGACTTTTCAGACTGGCTTCTGTCTCTTAGTAATATGCATTTAAGGTTCTTCCATGTCTTTTTGTGGCTTGAGAGCTCATTTCTTTTGGTAAGTCTATTTCTTTTTTGGGGGGGGCCCACACTGCACAGCTTGTGGTATATAAGTTCCCTGACCAGGGATTGAACCCAGGCCCTTGGCAGCGAAAGAGCCGAGTCCTAACCACTGGACCACCAGGGCATTCCCTGGTAAGTCTATATTTTTTGCGGTACGCGGGCCTGTCACTGTTGTGGCCTCTCGCATTGCGGAGCACAGGCTCCAGACGCGCAGGCTCAGCAGCCGTGGCTCACGGGCCCAGCTGCTCCGCGGCACGTGGGATCTTCCCGGACCGGCGCACGAACCCGTGTCCCCTGCATCGGCAGGCGGACTCTCAACCACTGTGCCACTAGGGAAGCCCCGTAAGTCTATTTTTTTACATTTTCCTTCAATAAATATTTACTGAACTTCTATAGCAACTTCTATAGATTCTGTCTATCTAATAGAGATATAATGCAAGGTCACAAATTTACTTTTTCTAGTAGCTACATTAAAAAAGGTAAAAAGGAGAAGAAATTAACTTTAATAACATATTCTACTTAACACAATATATTCAAAATATTATTATTTCAACATTTTATCAGTATAACAATCGAGATACTTTATATATACAATTTTTGTACTAAGCCTTGGAAACCCAGTGCTTTGTATTTCCAGAACATCTCAGGTTGGACTAGCCACATTTCCAGTGCTTGGTGGACACACACAGCTGGACAGTGCAGTACCGTGCTTGGATGCTGAGGATGAGCGGGTAGACAAGGTCTCTGACATCATACCGCTGACAGTCTAGTGTGGGAGACAGATAGTAGTCAACAAATCATTTTGGAGAGTGATAAGCGTTATTGAGAAAATAATACACCCGTATTATACAGAGACTGGGAGGCAGATTTAGATTGCCTGGGTAGTCGGAAAAGCCTTTCTGAGGCTGCGACCCAAATGAGGAGGCATTAACCGTCAATTATCTATTGCCACAATTATGCTGTATAACAAGCCACTTCAAAACTCACAGGCTAAAAAAAAAAAAACTCACAGGCTTACTATATAGCTAGTTATTATTGCTCATGAGTCTACAAGTCAGCTGGGCAGTTCTTCTGGTCCCAGGTGGGCTCACACATGCATCTGTGAGCAGCTGCAGGTCAGGTGGGTGGCTATGCTGATCCTGGCTGGGCTTGCCTGTTTGGGGTCTGCTGGCTGTTGACTGGTATAGGATGTCCTCAGCTCTTTTCCATATAGCTTCTCATCCTCCAGCAGGCTAGCCCAGGCCTGCTCTCATGGTGGAGGCAGGGATCCAAGAGAGAATGTGGAAGCATTCAAGGCTTATGAAGGCTCAGGCTCAGAACTATTTATCACTTCTGCCACATTCTTTTGGCAGAACCAAGTTACAAGGCCAGCCCAGATTCTGGGAGGAATTGGAAAGACACATTGCAAGAGGTGTGTGTACAGGGAGGGGTGGAAAATTCAAGCGATTTTGGCAGTTCATCTCCCATATTACTTAAAAAGCTTTCAACACCATCAGGAAGTTATAACAATGCTAAACTCTATGTGCCCAAAAAAATATCCTAAAAACATAAAAACAGAAATAGAATTGTAGGGAGAAACTGACAAAATTCCTCTTACAGTGGGAGGTTTCAATATACCTTTTGCAATTATTGGTAGTTCAAGCACACAAACAATAAGTAAAGATATGGAAGAGTTCAACATAATTTACGAGGTATTTGGTTCACAAACATTTTCAGCATGCTTTCTGTGTGTGAGGCACTATTCTAGGTGTGCTGGGCATATAGCAGTGAAAAGTCAACAATCCCTGTCCTCATAGAGTTTATATTCTAGTGGAAGGAAACACACAGACAAGTTAATATGTAAAACAAACATGATGACTACTATGGTGAAAGACAAGAGGGAAAGGATATGGAGTGTGGGGATAGCAGGGTGAGGGGTTTAACTTAAGTAGCATGGTCAGTGTAGTCGCTATTGAGGAGACACTGGAGCGAAGACCTGAGTGGTGAGGGCTTGAGTCCTGTGCTTATCTCTAGGACCAGTGGAGGGAACAGCAGTACAAAGACCCTGAGGCAGTAGCTGGGAGGTTCTAGTAGTAGACAGAGGCAGGCTTGGCAAAGTGGGAAGGGATAGTTGTCAGGGGCCAGATCATGCAGGGCCTTATAGGCCATGGTAAGGATTTTGGATTTTAGTTTTCGTGATGGGAAGTCCCAGGAGGGTTTTTGTTGAGGGAGAGGGGTATCATAGAGCATTAGGGGTGAGGACCTTGGGGAGAAGAGGGCTGTTTCCAGACAAGAGTCAGATAGCCAGACCTTTAGAGATGACTGGGTACCAACCCTTGTCAGGCAGCCTGTCAACAGGGAATTTCCCTTGCTTTGTCTTTCAATTACCTAGACAGCAGTTTATTCCCCGAAGGATGTCACTATCTACAGAGAACATGTTCCAATTATCCCAGAAAACAAGGTAATTGGGATTGTAGTAATATTCATCGCCTCAATTCTCAGAATGAAAACCTATCCAAAGCAAGAACAAAAGGTAGCTCCAGAAAGCACTCCCTCCCACTTGGGAAAACCCAGTCATCAACTTATGGAGCCACAATTTATGTGAAACTGTTGTTAGTTTCAAGTCACTTTCTTTTTATGATATAATCTTACATTAAAATAAGAAAGAAATGGGGCCATTTGTTCAACAAATATTTACTGAGCACCTACTATGTGCCACACACTCTTCTAGGTGCAAGGGATACAGCAGAAAACAAGACCAGCAAAGATCTCTAACCTCATATGGAAGATAAACACGCAAAATATGTGATATGTTGGATGAGGAGATAAATGCCCTGAAGAAAAATAAGGGGGGGAATAGTGAACATTTGAGAGTGGGTGTGTTACAATTTAAAATAGGCTAGTCAGGGGGACATTAGTTGAAAAAGTCCTATCAGCCCAATATTCCTCGGAACAGAGAGAAGGGTTGCAGAGTGCCAGAGAGATAAAGGCAGGGCGGGGCCCACATCTTGTAATACAACCACTACAACGTTAAGGGTATGATTTATAATTTTATTCCACATTCCATGAAAAGGAAAAATTTCCTCTAGCTGATGTGGTAATTTCTCACCTCTAGTTCTTGGAACTGAATTATATAAGTTGTAGTACATTTTACTACACATTATCAGAAAAAGACTGCATAGCTCTATTTAGCAACTCCAGTTCTGACAGTTCCCATGACTGGGCTAAAACAAAGGCACAACAATGGCAGAATAGATTATTCTATTAGTTTTCTTTGTGGGATTTTCTTTTTTCAGCTAGAGTCCATCTGAGTGGAACTCAAGGTAGTGGGGATGCTGTGCTCCTCTAGGCAGCATACAGGGACAGCCTGCAGCATCAAAGGGTACACGCTTGCCTCAGATCCTTTTCAGTTTCTGAAATACATAGGAAATTTAATGGAAAAAAAATCAGACATCTGAGAGCTTTGCATAGAGGCATTCTAGCAAAGAAAAAAGCATCTACTGGGTATGTATGTGCACAGATTCAAATGAAGTGAAGAGAACCAACCTAGGGGGTGGGGATGGGGAATGGGCAGGAGTATAAGTTGAGGGAACTAAGAAAACAAAAGCAATAAAATATAAAAAAAAACCAAAAAGCTGCTTGCCCATGTGTTATCCACACTGGAATCCAGTTCGCTCACTCTGGTAGGGAACTCAGGGCCATGGCAAGGGAATGGGGTGGAGCCTTCAGAGCATTTGTTAGCCTCAGTGGAACCAGGGAGGTAAAGGGTAAAGTGGTGGTACAGCTTGCAAATCCACAGTCTGAACTTCCTCTAGGAGGGGCCCTGGAGTGGGCAGGCTCTCCTGTCTTTAGTGTGGGACACATGAGGGTGGAGAGCCCTAGCACAGCTCTTTTCGGTATTCATACACCAAGCTTCCACAGACTTAACACACACACACAATTTATTTTTCAAATCATGTACTGGATTCAAGATGTGAAAGTAATAATGGGTCCTGAATGCTTAAGAAAAACTTTGATTTCCTCATTAGTTACAACACCTGGAGCAAATGCCAACGTCTCCATTACCTCACTTGTAAAATAAAGATAACAGGTAGAGATGCAAATGAAGACTTCCTCAAGAGCCTGATATCATATCTGATGCATAGTAGGTTCTTAATGTTCTCCCCCATCCTAACAAAAAGAATTAGAATACTGTCAAATGCTATGGGTATACTTTAAAACAGTACTTGTTAACCTTTAACATGTGGACCAATCACCTGGGGGAATCCTGTTAAAGTGCAGATTCTGATTCAGGGGAGTTGGGGAGGGGACAAGGATTCTTGCATTACCCAAAAGGCTTCCAGGTTCTGGTTATGATGGGGGTCACTCTTGGAGTAGCAAGAATTAACATTAAGTTCCATTACTTAACACAACTACCACACAAAAAGCCCTCAAAAGGAGCTCCACGGACTAGCTATTTCTTTAAAAATTTTACTTTTCCACTTCAGCTTCATGCAAAGTCACTGACCCAGCTAAGTGCCCAGCACGAGCAAGGCCAGGGCATAATGAGATTTGTGAGGGCATCATTTGGTCCCGGAGGGTTCACAGCACCCTTTTACAGAAAGATCCTGCAACTGTCTCCCCACCACTTTCAGCTTTTTGATCTTAGCCTTTGCCTCTGATGATAATTACCCCTTAATTAGCACCCACCACCATGTCATCTAAATAATTATAGTAAGTGCAGCTTGCACCTCTGCTGGCAGTCTTCGAACAAACTGATAAAACAAGATCCTATACCAATTTTTTTTTCTTTTTTGCGGTACGCGGGCCTCTCACTGTTGTGGCCTCTCCCGTTGCGGAGCACAGGCTCCGGACGTGCAGGCACAGCGGCCATGGCTCACGGGCCCAGCCGCTCCGTGGCATGTGGGATCTTCCCGGACCGGGACACGAACCTGTGTCCCCTGCATCAGCAGGCGTACTCTCAACCACTGCGCCACCAGGGAAGCCCCATGCCAATTTTTAAAAAGACAAAACTGACCCAAATAAAAGTCACATGCCGTGGAACACGCAGACTCATTACAACTTCCATTAGAATAAGCTATTTGAGTTGGTTTTGAAAAAAATAAAATTATATAGTGAAGCCCTAACCCCAATGTGAGGGCATTTGGAGGTAGGGCCTTTGGGATGTTATTAGTTTGAGGGTAGAACCACTATATGAAGAGACAAAAATCATCTCTCTCTACCATGTGAAGAAACAGCAAGAAGGCAGCCATCTGCAAGCCAGGAAGAGAGTCCTCACCAGGAAGAGAATCAACCTGCACCTTGATCTTGGACTTCCTAGCCTTCAGAATGTGAGAAATAAATTTCTACTGTTTAAGCCAAAAAAAAAAAAAAAAAAGTTGGTTTTGATACAATCAAGTATTGATATATTTGGGAAATTGTAAATGTCGGAACGTAAATTTTGCAAGCAGTTGTGCAAAAGCAAAACAATTCAGCCATACTAAAATCCACTTTAAATTCCTGTTGGGAAGGGCTACAGGATGTCTGAACTATTTTTTCTGTTTGTAGTTGCCCGAATATATTGGAGGAGTTTGGTAACTTCCGGTGCATTCAAAAGCAAATTACCTTTTGTGGAGGAAGAGGCGGGCTTTTCAAATAAAGCAATTAGTTTTCTAATTTCCCAAGTGGATCTCCATTCACCGCCTACCTAACGGCAGTGCCATCCGAGCCCAAAGAATCATGTACATCTCTTAGGAGGAACCAATTGTGCTACTCTTAACGTGGTTTTCTCTCCGCAGCCTTAAAAACAAAAAAGGAAAACTAAAACTTTCCGAGTTTCTGAAGAGGTAATACATTGACACGGAAAAAACTTCGAACAGCACAAAATGGTGTATAAAGAAAAATAAATGATCTCCCATCATCCGCCACCTCCCTGTCCTCCCCAGAGGCAATCACTGGTTAAATTTTTTATTATGGAAAATTTCAGATATATAGGTAGATATATTGGAATGAGCCCGTGTATAACACAGCATCAGCAATGAAAAACACCCCACTGGCTTGTTTTATTCTCCTTCCATCAGTTTTTGTAGGAGTTATTTTAAAATAAATCCCAGACACTGGATCATTTTATCTGTCAAAACTTTTAGTATTTCGTCTTTTTTTTTTTCCTTTCTCTCCTTCACATAACCACATTACTGTCATCACACCCAACAAGGTTAACGATAATTCCTTAATACCATCCAATATTCTCAGGGGTCACTTTTAACGGGTTCGGGACGGACAGAGGGAGAAAGAACTACGAAGGTAAGGACCGAGGGGATACAGGTGGCACAATAAAGAGCCGAGCTGACATCGCTCCAGGCCGCGACCGTGGATCGGTTGCCCAGCTCCCCGGGCCTCCCAGTTCCCGCTGTCATTAACTGCGCAGGGACAGCACCGACCAGGACGGGTCGAGGGCCGCACGGAGCCGCGAGCTCCCAGCCTCCCGGCTCCCAGGCGGCGACCCCAGCAGGCCCGGCGCAGCTGTACAACCCACCGTCTCCAGACACCGGCGAGTCCCTGGAGGGGAAACGATTGACACAGCTGCCTGCACTGCGCCCCCGGCCCTCCCCCGTGGCACCTGCGTCTCCCGGCAGGGCCAGCAGCTGGAACTTGCTCCGGAGCCCGGGCCGTCCGGGTCCGCCGCAACCTCTCCTCCCGCTGCCAGCTCCCGCGCCGAGCTCTCAGCGCCGCGACCTCGCGGACCCGGACTACAACTCCCGTCGGGCGCCGCGGTCGGCCCAATGGCGGGCGCCGGAGCATGCGGGGCGCGGCGCCTGCGCGGCGGTTTGAGTAAGCAGCCGCGCGATTGGCTGTGGGGTCGGGCGGCCGCGCGGGGCCTGTGGGAAGCGGAGTGACGGAGCGAGCCGCTGTTGGAGGAAGGAGGTGGGGGCCGGGAGCGCAAATGGCGTTGAGATGGTTCAGGGCCCTGTTCAAACTCTAGCGCTGACCATTCACCGACGGAAGCGGCGGCGCAGGAGGCGGCGGCGGCCCATCGGGGGCACGTAGCGGGCTCTGGTACCAGCTCCGGCGGCGGCGGCGGCGGTAGCCAGGGAGGCCTAGGCCCGGGCCCGGCCGGCGGCGCTCGAGGCGGGGAGGGAAGTTGCGGTGCCGCCGCTCCTCCCCCCCCTCCACCGGGTTTCCTATTTACCGAGAGCGGAGTCGCGGGTTCTGACGGTGGCGGAGCCCTTTGCCTCTCTTCGCTCACCAGCCGGCCCCGTTCTCCCGCGCGGGGCTCCGGCGCCCGCCCGTGGGCCGTTGGGAGCGGGAGAGGCGGAGGCGGCCCGAGGCTAAAGCACTCGCCAGGCGCCGAGGGTAAGTGAGGTCTCGGGTGGCTGCCTAGGCCCGGAGCTTGCCGAGGGTGGGGGAGGCAGGGGTCCGGGAGGGGGTGATGGAAGTCTCTGTATCTCACCCACCCGGGCTCTGAGGAAGTTGGGCAGGGGAACGATCTGAAGAACTCTTTTCCCTTTTATTCTGAGTTCTTTCTGGGCTACGGCTGATTTAGTTCCCTCCCCAGGCGCGGTCAAGTGCGTTGGTTTCAGGCCGGAATTTTTTGCTGTCTTTTCTCCGCCCCTGGCCGCCGCTGAGGCCTTCCACTGCCCTGGGGATTCGGTGGCAGAGGCTTCCGGGGCGTCGGAAGCAACATCCCTTTCCTGGGAGGTGGGGGTGGGGAGGAGAAAAGTTGCGTGAGCTTCCAGCGGGAGGGGGGCCGCCTCTCCCCGCCACCTCCTAGCGCACCGCCGCCCCCAGGTGAGGATTTCTGGGTGATGAGGTTTGGCTTTTCCGGCTTTCATTCCGTCGTGGAAGCCCCTAAGCCCTTGGAGATCTGAAAGACGCTGGATTTGGTTGGGGGTTAAGTGTGAGGACCGTTTATCCCAGCGCACTTCCCAGAAAATTCGACCTGGCTTTGGGCTGGGGCAAAGGCTCACCGACAGAAAAGACTTACTTGTGAATCATTCTTTCCTTTTTGGTTAGGGTAATTTTTGGAGTTTGAAGCCTGAGCAAGATAGCCTGTGTTCTTGAAGTATACTGAAAATACAATGTCACATACGTCTACACACTTGTTTTTGAATTTCTGTGTACTTTACACTCGAGGCTTGGATAATGCCATCACAATAGTTTGTCTAGTGACTTTAAAAAAAAAAAAGACGTGGAAAACTGTAAAGACAGTCAAAGGTAGGGGATATTGTATAATGAACTCCCATGTATTCATCCTTCAGATTCAACAGTTATTAACTCTAAACCAAATTTTTCTCATCTATGCACTTTCCATTCCACACCCCTTCAAGTTAGAGAATCACTGACATTATTGCATCAGTATTTCAGTATATATTTGTTAAAGACATGGGTTTTTTAAAAAAAACATAAGCATGATTTTCTTGTAACTTAAAATAATTCACTCCTTAATATCAAATATTCATCTGCAGACTTTCAAGTTGTAACAGTTAATGCTTTATGGTTCTCGGACCACTTTTGCCATGAGTTTTTCTGGTATGGGCCTAAAGTAGCCCAAGTCTAGATTTTTGGTTTGGCCTTTAGTCAGCATTTTTAGGTAATTACTGTGTTAGTGTATCCAAAACATTCCAGCTTTGTTGGTGTATGTGTAAATATAGATCTGTAGATCAGGGCTTTACATCCGAGGAGGAATGAAAAGAAATGACTTATTTTGTGTTTCTTGTACCTGCCAAATATACTTAGTTTTTTTTAGCTATTCTTAACAAGAAAGACAAGATTTTTTAGTGTAAATCTACAGTAGAAGGGGAAATAGGTTTCCCAAAGGAGAAAGTTTTGTGAGATGTTAAAAGATTTTCAAACAATTACAAATTATTTTCTCTTAAAGCAGATGTGTATGATGACTAAATTAAGTATTATTTTGTCCAATTAGAATTGGCTTCTAACCAAAATATTAGAGGGGAAATTGCTTTACCAAATATATATATGCACACACACATACATATATCAAACTGAGTTTATAGGGATTCCCTATAAATTGGGAGAATTTAAGTTGATAAAGGGAAACATAAACTACAGATTAAAACATTGAAAAGTATAGGTCAAAATATCATTCTGATTGTTGTATTGTGTAAGAAATGGATAAGGATTGATAGTGTTTAAGAAGTACTTTAACTTGTTTTAAAAATGTTTGACTCTTGATTTACTGTCCTGAAATTTTTGTCCTAGTACTTAGTATGTAGATAAATCAGATGAATCAATTTATCCTATCTTCAAGCAAAGAGGAAAATAAAGTTACATGTTTCTATTGCTTCTTTTAATAATCCATGGACCAGTCATTGTAATATGCTGGAGTTCACTAGCTCCAGCAAATGAGCACAGCACTATGGAGACAAGGAAGGTAGAAGAAATATGGTTTCTTGCACTAAGGGAGATGACCAAGTAAGGAATATTTTTCAAGTCATAATTCATATTACATTAGGCCAAAAATCAGGTTTTTAAGGATGGGTTAAAAGCTGCAGGTTCTAATATGTGGGAAAATAGCACCATTTTTCTGACTTTTTCCTCCTTATATGAGTAAGTGCTCTGAAATTTCAAGGAACTATATTTAGTCAATTATTTGACATCTCTAAAATCCTGAAAAAAATTAACATTTTGTGCTTAAGATTTTATATTAAGGGTAATTAGCCTATTTAGATTATTTTTTATGGTAAAAGTGATATGAGAATAATAAGTAGATGAATTTGAAACTTTTAAAGAAATCAGTGTTCCAGTATAAGTTGGTTTTGTGAATGCTGGCTTATAAGTTGGTTAGTTGTTAGGCTTTCTTATTCTGAAAGTAGCAAATGAATATGTACTTGTAAAAAAGATTAACAGAAGTGTGTAGAGTAAAAAATGAGCCCCTCTCTGTATACTCCCTCCCCTTATTTAACCGTTTTAAAAGATTTGTACCTTGAATGTGGAAAAGCCATATGGGGAGAAAAGCCATATTTACTTGTTAAATATTTGGTGATTATATATTTTCTTACTTTTTTTTTCACAGAGAATATGAAACAGGTGTCAAAATGACATCCAGATTTGGGAAAACATACAGTAGGAAAGGAGGAAATGGCAGTTCAAAGTTTGATGAAGTCTTTTCCAACAAACGGACCACCCTTAGCACAAAGTGGGGAGAGACCACATTTATGGCTAAATTAGGACAGAAGAGGCCCAATTTCAAACCGGATATCCAAGAAATTCCGAAGAAACCTAAGATGGAAGAAGAAGACACTGGAGATCCTTTTGGATTTGACAGTGATGATGAGTCTCTACCAGTTTCTTCAAAGAATTTAGCCCAGGGTAAAGGTTCCTCTTATTCAGAATCTAGTGAAGCTGCTCAGCTGGAAGACGTCACTTCTGTACTTGAAACTAATAGCAAAATTAGTCATGTGATGGGTGAAGACATTGTTGTATCTGATAAATGCTTACGTTTGGAGGATACTTTGCTTGGGAAAGAAAAGAGCACAAACCGTGTCTTAGACGATGATGCAAGCAGAAGTAGCTGTGCTAAATTAATTACTTCAGGTAAGTTTTGATTTTCTTTATTCTGAGCCAGGAGAGCTTTGTGTAAGCTATTTAGTTAAATGATTTTGATTTAGATTCTGAAATATTACACCTCTTGGGGTTTTTTTCTGCATTAATAATTAATGGGGACCAAAGATAATTTTGTAGAAGAGATTTAAGAAATTAAAGAAACCAATTAGGAGTTGAAATTTTACTTAAGCAACTTGGAAATTAATGTTTCCAGACTGTACCCATAGTACATTTTGGGAGTGATCTTTCATTAATCCTTAACTCCAATTGAAGTAAGAAACATCTTTTTGTTGTGTTGGGATTGCACAGTATCTCATTTCTATTACTGTGGAGGATTTGGATGGTTACTGATAATGAAACTGAGATGAGCGTTTACAATGAGGATTAAGTTTAGGAGTGTTAGACTTTCTTCCAAAACTAGGAAGATTAAGGAAGTATGGAGTGGAAACAAAGAATTGAGCAAATTGAAATTAGTTTGGAGTCTGGTGCCAGTAGCAACTTGTATTAATAGATTTTCATCCACAAAACCAGTTGTATTTTTAAAATGTTAATTTGTAAACCTGGCATCTAGTGTTTGTTCTTAAAACAATGTATTTTATCAGTTGTACCCCTAACTCTTTTTTTTTTTTTGCGGTACTTGGGCCTCTCACTGTTGTGGCCTCTCCCGGCACGAACCCGTGTCCCCTGCATCGGCAGGTGGACTCTCAACCGCTGCGCCACCAGGGAAGCCCCTAACTCGTTTATGTAAAGGATTTAAGACTTACAATAATAAATGATAAAACGTGCAATTAACTAAAAGACTGAAGAGCTTAGATTGGAGATGGCAAGGGAGACAGCCTTCGTGCCTTATCAGCAATAGGATAAGGATCGCACTGTGGTCTAAAACAAACCTTAGTTCTTGACTTCCTGGCAAAATTTAGTGATAATAAAAGGTTACATAGGGACTTCCCTGGCAGTCCAGTGGTTAAGACTCGGCGCTTCCATTGCAAGGGGCTCGGGTTCGATCACTGGTGAGGGAACTAAGATCCCGCATGCTGCACGGCCTTAAAAAAAAAAAGTTACAGAGAGCTCATATTTTAAAAGGAGGTAAAGACAAAACTTTCCTATTTCGGAATTCTGTAGAGGAATTTGTCCTTTGGGGGCTTACTATAAGGCACCTCAAATACTTTGCCTTGCATAGTTTTACAAAAAATCCTGAACATTTTTCGCTCTTTTTCTCACCCTTGGATGAGAGGATGAGCCAGCTGTTACTGTCATTCCCTTGGTCCTCCTGGTTAATTCTGATTTGGCTCTTCTTATCCTTTTCCTACATTTCTCCTGAAGCATTGTTCATAAATTAAGGTTAGGTTAAATTTTCATTAGAAAACAGAGCATAAAAGCTGTTTTCCAGATAAACTCCTAAAAGTGCATTCTAATCATAGAACCATTGAGCCAAAATGAACTTTAATTCAGCTTTCCTTGTTCTATAGATGAGACTCAAAAAGGTTAAGTAACAGTCCAAGTTTGGGTAGTGGCAGAATTGGAATGAGATTCATTTATTGATTTTTTTCAAAACGCACACCTACTCTTTGTCCTCCACTGTGCCAGGCTCTGGGAATGCTGTTCCAGTCAGTTATCCAGTGTTCTAGTCCTCAGTATGGGACAGATAGGCTGGAGGAGGGAAGATGAGGCTGGGGAAGTGGTGAAACTGGTCAAGGTGCGCAGACACAACCTTCCCCAAGTGCTGTCTTTGGAGGAGAGGGGGGCATCACTGGCAGGCAGAGGGTATCATCAATAGGATAAATGTTTAGGTACAGGGGGAACAGGAACTTGGAAGTGAAATATTCATAGGCAGCAATTGCTTATATAGTTTTGCTCATGTTACATCTATATATATCCAGAGTGCCATTTGAAGTTGTTCACTGGGAACTGGAAACATAATTTTCTGTAGAAATGAGGTATTAGCTTCCCAGTATAATGTAGCTAAATTGTAGTTCTGGTGCTGATACTGTGGACTGACTGGAAATCCAAACTCCATTATAGTGGGTTTGTGAGGGGAAAATACATACTAAAATAGAGAAAATAGATGTTCAAGAACATCTTGTTCCTCTTCCTTCTTTCTTCGCAAGGCACCCTTAGTAGAAAGGGAATGGTGTAGCACTATAAATATTTCTTACTTTCTCCTCTCCCTCGCCCATCCAGAGCTGCAGCAACCCTGGCAGCTTGCTGTAGGATAAGAAGGGAACTTTGAAGGAGTGCATTTAATTCTCATGGTCTTATCCTATCCCTA